GAAATAACTCTTTTTCTCGTCTCGTAGCAAAAAAATAATTATTATTTTAACAATTATAATATTTAGTTGAATTTCATTTGCTTACAAAAACTAACGATTTGCCGATATGATTAATTAATGAAACTTTGATCAAAATTGCATACTCGAGCGTCAAATTTATGCATATCTCTCGTAAACGATAAAAAAAAAGATTATTAACAATTTTTTTCGATAATCGACAAAACGATATGTTCGGTGAAATTTTTAGTGATAAAAAAAAACAAAAATCACTTTATCCCGCGATACAGGACGAACGAGTGAACGGATGGACAGACGGGAAAGGGAAAGGGAGAGATGGGGGAGTTTGGATGAAAGAATGAAATTTAAAACGTCAAAGATAAATCCGCGTTGCGTTTGATTATTTTTCGTCGTGCACCGGAAGGCAAAACAAACTACATTTTCCTAGCAACACAAAGCCCCTTCCCCCTGTTCGGACCATTTGTGACAGAGGAAACGAGGCATCTCGTATAGACGACGGTCACTGCCACTTCCCTTCCCCCTTCCAACCTCTTCTTCATCCCGTACAACTCCAATTCGTGTACCCTAAAGCACCACCCATCGAAGTACCCACCACTCCTCTCCTCTCTACCCTGTTCTTCCTCCTCTTGCTTTTACACATTGTTGCCGTTCACAGCTCTCTGGGTAGGTAGTATGGTGGTGGGTGGGTTATCGTCGACGGTATATAGCATACCCGATAAACGGTGCTTTGTGGCTACTGAATTGCATCTCCGATCGAACTGGTTTAGCCAGTAGACCACCTCCTCTTCCTTCTAGCTGACGTAACCACTTTAGGTACTGACGAAACCTGTTCTTGTTCAGTTAAGCCATCTCAACACGTTCTCGATCACGAATATTATCCTATCCTCCCCCTTTTCCCCCCATAATTATTATCATTGTATAATTTCAATCCTACTATCAGTTTTACCTCTTAGAGTAAAAAGATTTTTGGATAGAATCAAAGAACAGTAAAGTTTTCTTTATTTTGTATAAAAAACTTTTTTTTTATTTTTAATAAGGTTTTATCGAAATTAGTTTTATTGAAGAAAAAAAATTAATTGTTTGATTGATTTTTTTTTTTATATGGAATCGTCGATGATATATATGGTTATGATACGCGTTCCTAACGTGCTACAATTATTATTATATTGAAATACTTGAAATTGAAGGACAAGACATTACGGAATCAAGAATATTGCAGGAATGTCTTGGGATTAACTGTACCTCCAATTATGCGAAATGTTATATCGAAAACAGGAATCTCAATGGTACCAAATATGCCATCTCAGAATAATATCAATGAATATTATATCATTTTACTTTCTTTATTTCTTAGAATCTCATTTTGATTATGAATAGTATTTGATAGATTTTGTATCTTTAAAAATTTCTAAATAAAAAGGATTCTTAGTGTCTTTAAAATACCTTCGATTAAAAAAGTGTTTAGAATTTGTTCTAAGATCTCTCTTGATTGTCTACTTATTTCAATGAATTAATTGTTAAGATTAACGATTAACATTGAAAGCAACAGGTGAAGTAGATTTTTCTTTTATTCCTACAAGAGAAATCTTTGTTAAACGAAATAAAGTGATATCGAGAAAGAAAATCTCGTGTTTTAAATGAGATTCAATAGATGTAGAGGAACAGAAGAGAGACATAAACACATACAGACATATATATATATAAAGAGAGATAGAAGTAGGAAGACAAAAGGACGACATCGAACTTCATCAGGGGAGTCATGTCTGTCTATTGTTCGAATAACACCGATGCAAGTAGTACTGTCTTCTACATAAGTTTAAACTTATAAAGCATCGTTAGCATTGATAGTAAAAGGTAATTGCAACGAAGCTACAAGAATTCATTCCCCACAAAGCATAACCCCCATCTCTCCCAGTAGCCCACCCCCATACTCTTCTCCCCCACTGTCTCGTCGCCAATGCCACCGCCACCGTTCGAGAAGTCAAAGCAAATTCTCGCATCTCTTTAGAAAATCTCTTCTCTTTAATCTTTCTTTGAGAGAGACAGAGAGAGAGAGAGAGAGAGAGAGAGAGAGAGAGAGAGAGAGAAAGAGAGAAAGAGAGAAAGTTCTTCAGCCTCTTTCCACTTCCTTCTTTTTCTATGTTTACTCATTTTGCTCTATTTACTGTCTACCCCTTGGTACCCCCGTTTTACCTCATATCCCCATACTACTACTCTCTATCTCCCCAGACTTTTTTCTTCGGAGGTTATTCGACTTTGTACACCAGGAAGGAACATTGCGTGTGAAAAAGGCGAGGATCGTTTAATACCAAAGTAGTAGTAGTAGTAATAGTAGTAGTAGTAGAAAGAAGGATTTAACGACATCTGGATTATTTGAACTAGTCAGTAGCAAATTTTTTTTCTTCTTCCAAAAGATGAAATTAAATATTCACGCTTTTGCGTAAAATATTAGTCATGTTAAACGTAAATTTTTTCCAAGTTATTTTATTTTATTTTTTTTTTTTT